GCGGCGGCCCGGGACCCCGGAGTTGCACTGGAAGTTGGGACCCGGCACCAGCCAGGGCTCGGAAGTGGAGCCACGCGGCGCAGTCTGACGCGCGCTCCCCAGGCGGCCGGGCTTTCCCTTTCCCTTGCCGAGAGGAGCGGCGAGGGGTGCAGGCGGCAAAACCCCCTGGGCGCGAGGGCTGCTTCCAAGGGAGGAAAAGGCCAGAGCACGGGCGTGGCGAGGCGACATCCGACTCGTTCCACAGATCTGCGGACCTTGTGTGGCCTCTCGGACCCGGGTTGGGATGCGCGCTCTCCCCGCCCCTGACGGCCCACGTTAATTCCCTCCAAAGTGCATTGGATTAAACCCGGCCCGGGAGCGCGCAGGAACCCCAAATGAATGAAAGTAGAAAGGACTGCAAATCGCGGATCTAACTGTGGGTTAAATCTGAGTCTGCTTGAGAAAGAGCCGGCTCCGATCTGGTCTGGCAGGGTCCGCCGGGGTGGGGGTGGGCTCGGGTGCTTTCTTGCCTTGATCCCCGCCCCCCCCAGGATTTGCCCACCCCAAACCCAAGTGTGCAGCCCGTGGGGGTGGGCTGAATGAAAGTAGAAAGGACTGCAAATCGCGGATCTAACTGTGGGTTAAATCTGAGTCTGCTTGAGAAAGAGCCGGCTCCGATCTGGTCTGGCAGGGTCCGCCGGGGTGGGGGTGGGCTCGGGTGCTTTCTTGCCTTGATCCCCGCCCCCCCCAGGATTTGCCCACCCCAAACCCAAGTGTGCAGCCCGTGGGGGTGGGCGGGGTGGGAGTGGGGTGGCGCGTGTCCACGCGGCGTGGATCAGGCAAGGACTCGAGTTCTGGCTGTTTTTGAACCAGGTCCTTCCCTGTGGGGTCGGACACCGCTTAGACTATGACACCCGGCTGTCACTGCATTCCGAAGAGGACTTCGGAATGGGCTTCATAGCACAGGCTGGACCTCAGGGAGCCTTCTGCGTGCTGAGGAACAGAGAGGTGAGCTGCAGCAGTGTGCCTGGCCATGAGTCCTGAGTCCCCTTCCGGACTCACACCAGCCACTATTCGGATACCTGGAGCAGGGCCACCCTCTCTACCCTCTCTCTGGTCTGGCACATAGTAAGCTCTGGACACTGACAGGCTGGTGCTCCTCATGAAAACGCAGGCCTGAAGAAACAGTAGTAAGTTGTAGGATCAGTCATTGTTAAAAATCAGTGTCGAGCTGATACTAGCAGTCTGGACGCCAATGTGCATGTGGGGTTGTGGGCAGTAAGGGTTAGGGTTGGGGTTAGAAGAGGACACTAGGGCTTTGTGCTGTTGTACAGACAGGTGAGAGTTCGGTTAATCTCAACAGTGAGGTCACAGCCAGGACAACGTCAGAGGATGGCCCTGTGGCTTGGGCTTCAAGGAAGAGGAAGAGGCCTCCAGGAGGGCTGGACAAACCAAAGAGAGGTCTGTGTGCAGTCTCCTGCTTCTCCCTGCCCAGCCAGTGCTAGGCAGTAATTCCCAGCAGCAGCCACCCCGCCCCTCTGTTTCTTTTTTCTCCAAGCAAAAGAGTCACAGCTTCCCCCTTACTACCCACAGCCCCAAACTGCTAGTTGTCCCCACAATCCAGGGAGCTGTGGCATGCTCTCTCTGGAAAAATACAATAAAAAGAAGTCAGAACTAACACAGGGCATGGTTTTTGTAGGATTTTAAGTGAGGGCAGGTTGGCTGTGAATGGTTCATTAAAAAGACCCGGGGAGTGGGTGAGTCAGTCTGCTCAGAGCTGTGACTTCCTCTTCTATAGGGAGAATAATAATTTTCACCTCCTGCTCTGTGAGAATTAATTTATGACTTCAGAGTTATCTGAGACACTTGAAAGGGAAGCGTGAGACCTAGCACATGGGAGTGTAGGATTTGCCAGCTCAGAGCTGGTTAACCAGGACTAGCAAAAAACACAATCGGAAAGAAGAAATGACTTTCACCGACGTTGCATGTTCTCACTCATTTGTGGAAGCTTAAAAAAGAAAAAGTTGATTTCATAAATGTAGAGAGCAGCTGAGCACTCTGGGGAAAACGAGGCAGGAGGGTCGCCAAGTTTGAGACCAACCTGGGCAACTTACTGACTTAGTGAGATTCTGTTTCCAAATAAGAAAAGATGGGGGGTGTGGCTCAGTGGCATAGCCCTGGGTTCAGTCCCCCAGGAAGTACGCCCCAGGAAGCATGGTTAGCAGAGTCTGGGGAGGGCAGAGGGGAAGAGAAGGTGGAGAAGGGTTAATTAATGTGTACAAAATACAGTTAGATAGGACGTTTCAGTGCTAATGTCCTGGCCCTACAGTTGATCAATATCAATCAATTGATCGATCAAATGAAGTTCTGGTGTTTTACAGCACAGTGAGATGACTATAGCATATTTCAAAGTGGTTACTATAGAGAATTCAGAATGTTTCTAATCCGAAGAATGATTACTATTTGAGGCAGTAGATAACGTTGATAACTTTGCTTTGGTCATTGCGTGCTGTGTATATGTGACAAAATACCACACTGAACTCTGTGAATGAACACAATTATTGTGAGCCAATTTGAAAATAAGTCAGTAAATAAAAGCTTGAAAATGTGACTTTCCCTGTCAAGCCGCCAAGGCTGGCAATTTGAGAAGATAGCGCACCTGTTCTCCGCAATGTAGATGGAGAAATATCGGTAGTGAGTAGAAAGGGCTTATGATTTGTTTGTTACTTGACCGGGGAGGCGGAGAAATCTGCAAAAGAGAATAGAGCTAGCTACCTCACTCGCTCCGCTGCAGGGAACGAAAAAGGTACTTTGCTTTGGTTTTTTTTTTTTTTTAATTTTTATTTTTATCAAGTGCTTTATTTTAATGCTGGCTGAGTAGTGTGGAGGATTTGGTGTTTTGAGGATGTTATGTAAGACAGCTGGGCTACTCAGGCTGTCGTGGGCCGGAGCCACTGCAAGGGACCATATTTCCTGAAAAGAAGCCGCCAGAGCTACAGGGACGCTGTGTCGGAACCCTGGACAGTGAGAGAGCGGCCGGCCTTTAACGTGGGGCAAAAGCAGCACCAATGGCATTGGACATAACGGCGACTGCTAGAGGTTTCTGCCTCAGAGAAGGAACCGACCAGAACTGGAGCGGACATTCGTGGTGAAGGGCCTGTGTGCGCTTGTGCAGGAACAGCAGCAGAGAGCCAGAGAGCTCCCGTTGCTGATGCCTAATGCGGCAGGGAAACCGACATGGCGTCCAAGTCGGCGGAGCCCTCGCCGTGGGAGGATGAAGCGCTCCCATGAGGAACAGCACACGCGCGGAGCCCTGGTCAGGATCCAAGGCTGAGGCTGGTCCTGGCCCCAAGCTGCTGGTGCGGATCCTACCTGCACCCTTAAACCTCTGGACGTCCCGTCCCGGATGTCCACTGCCCCGAGGACAGGGCATCCGCTCTCCGTCAGAACAGCAAACAGAATGGGTCTGAAAACGTCCTCCATCCATTCCAGCCCTCCCGGCCTCACCGCAGCTCCCCGCACCTGGCCTCGGTCCTTCACACCCGCCTCTTCTCACAGTTCCAACACAGCAGCGGCGTGGAAATGCCAGTGGCCATGCTGTGGGACTCTGGTGGCCACTCCTTCCTATGTATCGCCATCTGTGCCACGCCCAGACCCTGTCACTGTGGCATGGACCGGTACACTAATGTCCCAGCTCTCTGGCCTCACCATCCCTGGCTTCTGCCTTTAGTTTCATCTTTTGGAATTGATGATACCACTCCCTGCTCCGAGCCACTCGCCACCCCCTGCTTCCTAAAGGCCGAGATTTGAGCTCAAAGCCCAGGGTTTGCTCTTCCACACCTGCGGGTTCATGGTGCCTCCTGCTGCAACTTTCACCAGTGCCTCTGGCAACCTTCTGCTCTCCCTGCTCCTGTGACATTTACCACGCGTGGGGCAGGGGTGTCCTGGGATGGAGCCCAGGGTCACGACACCAAGCCCTTTTGTATTTATCCTTTTTATTTGGACACACGGTCTCCCTCAGTTTCCCAAGCTGGCTTTGAATTTGAGGTCTTCTTGTCTCAGCCTCCCAGAGTTCTGGGATTATAGGTGTGACCACCCCACCCGGCTCCATGCATTTATCTGTAGTGTGCCTTAGGACTGAGGACCGGGACTCCATTTTATTATTCATCCTCCTGTTCACCACAGTGGCACACAGTGGGGACCCCGTGACCTCTGGCTGAGCAGGCACCTGTCCTCTGCTGTCTGGGGAGGTCCTCATAGACGAGGAGATTTTACAAACCAGGGTGAAATCCCTGTAAGCAAGGAGTAGCCCACCCTGGCGTAGGTCCTTACAGGCAGAGTGGAACGCAGACCATTATCCAGAAACTTCAAAAGCCACCCTCGCCGGCATTTGTCTAATTGCATAGATAATTTAGGGTTGGAAGAATCTGTAAAATCATCAGCATTCTTCACTGCAGTCACATGAGCTCCGCTGAGATTGCAAACACAGAATTGAATGTGGGGAGCTGAACTGAAAGGGACAGAGGCTGGGTAGACAAAAAAATCAGATATGCCAGGCAGGGTGCCCGAAAACACCCTGAAATGTGGAGCGAATTCCTAGCTTGGGGCTTAGGGATTTGTCGGATATAGAACCACTTCTAGAATGGTTGATATTATGACTCCTTGATTTACAGAACAAAATTGTCCATGTATTGAAATGTTTCTGATCTGAAAACAACTCAATTCAGATTTTTAGAAGGCACAACTTTTTGTAATTTCATGCTTTTTTTAAGAATGAAAAGATAAAACCTTTACGTCATGTGCATACTAAATATTTGCAAAAAGATGAAGAAAAAATATATATATAAGAAAATCACCAGCTTCCATATTGAAGCAACAACCCAAAAAATCTTAGCCATACAAGCCTTCAAACTTCAGATGAAAAATACACCCTCATCAAATAGTTGTAAATAGTCTGTTGCTCATGAGGAATGAGCACATAAAAAACAATAACAGCAGTAAAATCCACAGTGCATGATCAAATACTGAGGTTTTGAAGAGAAAGGAATCAGGTAGTTTATTATAGAATTACTGAATAGATTCAAGTCTCTTCTAGAGAGTGTACAGGTCTAAGTAGTCAAAGCTGTTGTATCCACATATATCCCTGTGGAATTTATAAAGATGACGTAACTGTAAGAAAATGGACAGGATATTGACTGTCCACCTCATGGAGCATTTGGCTACGTAGGTGTGAGTCACATGAACATTGTTCCATACCTAGCTCTTCTGCAAGCTTACTAAGCCTTCCTCCAACTTAGTTTCATCACTGGCAGACAGCACAGAATTCCCTCTGTCATTACAAGATCAAGTAAATGGTCTGTTGTTTGTGACTGCCTTTTATGAGTGGCAGAGTGAGACATTCACAATATTTAATTAATTACTAGATCAGCATTGGACCATCTTCGTAACCCTTTGTAAAAGTACAACATGGAACACTCTCAAGGACTATTTGATTTTTTTTTTTAATGGAACTGGGGATCGAACTCAAGCCCTTGTACTTGCGAGGCTGGTGCCAGAACCACTGAGCTAAATCCCTGGCCATTAAGGACTATTTGAATACAAGCAAATATTTAATCAGTGGCTCCTATTTACCTTTAAATAAATACCTTTATTTTCCCCCTTAATTATCACAGAAATTTTGCAGAGCTAAATAGTGAGATCAGGAGTTTGTGTGTGGGCAAGGATGGTTTTAATAAGCTGATGATCTAGATGTCTGGTTTAAGAACCATCCCTGACAGGATTACTGTGTAACTGCATTCTCCCTGACAGTCCTTTCCTTGAATGTTGTGCCCATGGTAGCCTGCATTATGGGGAAGACAAATCATCACACAAGGAGAATGTTTCAGGGGCAGGTGCTCCTTGGCTTGCTGTGGATTCACACCCTGCTGCACACTCTGTAAGTTGACAGTACCTCTTACCACTGGGGATTGGGGTTCAGCAATGCAGCATGCAGCATGGTGGACCGGGAGCTGGAGCTCCCTGAAAAAGGTCAAAATTCCAAATTCAACGAATAGTTCTTGCAGAATCCATACCTCTTCCATCCCCTTGCAAAGTCAAACATTCTGAAGTTGGAATCACCCATAGTCCCTGCAGTTCCTAAGCAGCAGAATGAACAGGGTGATAGAACACAGGAGACCTATGACCTTACTGCTGTGCCGGCACACAAGGGACATAATATTACCCACTGCTAGACACGCTCGATTCCACTGAATATCTGGGGCTAAGTCATGAAGCTCTCTGAGCCCTACTTCTCCTGCAACACTAGCTGAGGACTGCCCACCTAGCGAAGGTCTTATAAGAAGTAGAAATAATGCTCATAACGTGACTAGCGCATAGTAAGTGCTCAGAAAGGTGTACCTATTCCTTTGGTGTTGAAGGATATGTATCAATACTTGGTTTAGTTTGAAAATTCATATTTATCAAATCAGTTTTTACTTTTATGATTTGCATTCAAGCCTTTTATCCTGTTTATGTGCTTTGTAACCATTTTTAGAAATAAACTTTGCCCCAAAGTATATGTAATTTTCTTCTTGCCACTTTGCAAAGTAGTTTTTTTAACAAAAAAAAAAGCAAAAGAATACAGCTGAGAAGATAAACCTACTGATACTACAGCAAAAACAGTTCTGCATTCTAAAAAACTTATTTTTATCTGCATAATGATTTGAGATAGAAAAATAGACTATCATAGGTATTCAACTCCACCTGTGAATAATTTGTACTCCACAATGATCTACAAGGATCATTTAATTGTAGTTATAATTAGGTAAACTGCTGTGCTTTTTCATATTTTCAAATGGACAGAATTTTTCTGGTTATTTATAGCAGATACCAACACAACCCACGATTCCAGGCCACCGAAGTTTAATTATGCAACACTACTGTGTTTGCATTTCATTGCCCTCCTGCAACGATAGTCACCATCGTTAGATCCCTGCCACTGTGACTAGGAATCCCTGAGGAACTGACTAAACCAGAGCCTCTCTGTGCCACAGCACCTAGCCACTGTCACTTGCCCCTGCTTGGATCACTTTAGGAACCTCTTAACATCAGAGATCCCCAAGGTGCCAGTGGGCACCACCAAACCCACCGGGGCACT